ATTTGGGGCTGTTTCTTTTCACACAATAATATTCACTATTATTATATGAAATAGACTCCTAACACACACTCAAAAGTAGCCAACTTTAGAGATATTTCATTAGGAAATTGAGAGAATTAGCTTCACACCAACTCAAATATTACTTCAAAGAGTAAAGAAATGGAATACAATGAATGAGTTTTACAAGGCCATAGGGCCGAAATATATAGGCAAAACAGCAAGGAAACTTCACCACTCTTTCCTACAATTCAAGTGCATAATGTCTATTTGATGGATCCCATAGGTTGTCCTCATTGATCAAGGCTAAAAGGGGTTCATGGTGGTGAAATGGGCTGTCTTTGGGTGGGGAAATTCGGCCATGTGAAGGGTAGGGTGAGGGAGTGTGCCATCTTGTCCATTTATGCAAAGTAAGGTATGTGACACATCAAGGGATTGGTTGTTTATTCCTTTGGCCTTATTATAGGTTTGAGAAGTGATTTGGGGGATGTTTGGGGGGAGGAATTCGGCCATGGGACAAGGAAAGTGAGGGGGGATGGTTTGGAATGATTTTCACACCAAGACAAAAGACATGTTTAATCCTTGTCTCCTGATTTGGTCTTTTGTGTTTTGTAATGGATTGGGATGAATGGAGATGGATTCTAAGGCCAAAAGGGAATGTATTTTCGTAGGGAAAGGTGGGGGAAGGTTTTATTCAATGTAGGGAATATTAGGAAAGAAAAAAACACACACAAAGCAATTTTGTTTGTCCTTATCTCTTGGATTTTCAGCCATGGCTTCAAAGGGAGGAGAAGGATTTTATTTTGGTTATTAAAGGAAAATGAAATACTTTTGGATATGTGGGGGTGTGTTAGGCTTGTAGGCATTTCGGCCTAGGTTGGGTTTTGGGAGAGAAGGGTCATGGTTCGGGCTTTAATGTGGGACGTGTCAATAAGTTCAACCCAAAATGGATCATAACACCTAGACATTAAACACTTGACTTGTTGTAACACTAGTGGCGTGTGTGATGGTGCATCCCGGGGTATATCAGATATAGATTTAGGAATTTGAAAAGCAAACACACAAGAGTTTTACTAAGGAAATTTCAGAATACAAGATGTGTTTTACAAGGCCTATGGCCGAAATATATAAGCATACCAAGGGGAGAGGGAAACTTCCTAGTTACATGCACTTATTTAGGGGAATAATGTCCACTTATTTAATGGAATGAAAACAAAGGAGAAGGGTGAGGTTGTGGGGGAGGGTGTTTCGGCCTATTGGGGTGGAAAAGGATGGTGGGTTTTGGGCCAATGTATACAACCACTAAGAGGAATAAAAATGTGTATAATAGGTAGTCCTTTGGCTTGATGTAATGAATGGCATGTGGGTGTTCTTTGGGGGGAATGTTTTGGCCATTGTTGTACCTAGGGTCTTAACGAGTAGCTATTTTGTGGCGGATTTGCGGAGGGAAATGGATGATGGAATTAAAGAGATGAAATATGGAGTGTGGGCAAGAGTTCTTTTTGGTGTTTTTAATTAATGAAGATAGAATAGAATGGGGTTTATGAAGAGAAAATGGAGAGGAATGAAATGGGCAGAAAAGTGAAGAGATAAACCAAGTTGGTGTTAAGAGATATGACACACTCTTATCTTAACTTGGGGCTATTATCTTCTTTTACACATTAATAATCACTACTAATGTATAAAATTAGACTCCTAACACACACTCAAAAGTAGCCAACTTTAGAGATATTTCATTAGGAAATTTTGCTAAAATAGCATCACACTATTTTAATGAAATTACTCAAAGAGTAACACAAACTTTTTATTCAATACTCTGGTGTGTTACAATGGCCTCATGGCTGAAGTATTTATACAACACAAATAAGGAAAAATACAAGAAAAAGGAAGGAAGAATACAACAAGGAAGTTTCCTACTTCTTTCCTACAAATCAATGCCTAATGCCCATCCATGTGAGTTGATTTTCCATGATGCTTCTCCTGATTTTGAGCTGATCTTCTTTGGGTTTATTTGGGCAGAAATTTCATGCCTTTATGGAAGAAAACAAAAGGAAATCAAGCTTTTGACAATTGTGAATAAAATGCCAAAACAGCACTATTCATTCAATGACTTTGTTTGTGAATTTTGTTCCTTTGTGTCAAAAGTGATCATGCTTTTGTTTTATGAAAGAAAAGGCTTTATTCTTTGTTGAAAATCAGGGAATAACTTCAGCCTAATACCCAAGCTTAGAAAAGGCAAACAGGAATTGAATAGCTTTGAGTTTCAAGGTTCAGGGATGTAGAATAATCGATTATCACTCTTTGATAATCGATTACCAACATATGACTTCCAAACCAAGAATGTTCAGAGACACCCAATAGTCGACTAACACTCAAGGATAATC